AAAAGCATGCCTCATATAACATCAACTTTGATGAGGTTTGAGTTGTTTTAAATTAAACATTTTCTCCAAAAGGGTGTGGAGGATAGATGTATTTTTGTTCTTAGCTTAGTGAAATAGGTTTTACTTGAATGTTTTTATATTTTGTAAACTTTTATTTGGATTATTATATTTTTTTACAAGGATTTAAAGCCGTAGTGTTTTGTTTTAGGATATTATAGGCATTTTGACGATAATATCTTATCTAATTGAGATTTTTATGAGTCAGGCATGGTTGTTGTGAAGTCGTAGCATACCAAACACAAATAATTTCAATTTTGATAGAAATGTGAGGTCTTCAATCCAATTTTTTTTTTTATAATATTTTCCCTTATTTCCTTAATTGATAATAATATTAATTTAAAATTAAAAGTGTGTTACTTTTTATATATTATGAAATAGATTATTATATATAGTTTTCATTTAATTTTATATTTATTAATAATTTTTTTATTTTAATTAATATTTTTTATCTAATTTAATTAATCCGAGTTTTAATAAAGATGCTCACACACACACACGCATAATTAAACCCTAAACCCTAAATATATATATAGGCTTCTTGGCAAATTCCTACCATTTATTACAAATAAAAAAATGCTATTCTCATGGCTCATATTTTATGTTGCAGCCCCATGCATGGGTAAATTCTCTGAAACTTTGTCGTGCGACAATTCATTCAATATGAGTATCATTTCTAAATAATTTTGATGTTTAAGATCCATCAGTGCATTTATTCTGCCATATGTTCATCTAAGCAACATGAGTGTCTTTATTAGCTATTTTTGGCATTGTAGACACTTTAGTTCAGTCCATTTTGTGAATGTGCAATGTTTTGAGTAATTTTGATTGTGATCAAAGCATTTCAAATGTAGCTTATGTTGTTTCGTCTGCCATCTTCATTGTGTTTGATTAGATTTATTGTGGGAGGTTTTTTTTGATAATTTTGATCTCAAATGTGTAATTTGTTTTATAAATGAATGAAGATTGATGATTTTAATCATGATCTGGGCATTTTGAAAGAAATTTTTGCGAATTTCTATATGTCACCCACCATCTTTATTATGCTTGATCAAAGTGCATTATGAGGCTTGGCTCGAAAGATAACATTCATAGGCATGACTTAAGTCATATTGAAGACATCTTGAGGGAGCAACATAGATATTGACATCCAACAATCCAATGACAACTCGGACCAACAAAATTGCAATGGAGGGGACTAAAGTTGGTTATGGAGTTTGAGAATATTTCTTGGAAGACAAAATTTAGGGAATAACTTACAAAAACTTGAATGGTTTAAATTGATCATAATATTAAGCACATAAATCTTGCTAGCCAAATTATATGTGAATTAAATTGTGATTTATGTGCTTGATATTAAAAACTTCTGGGAATTTGAATTATTTATTTACGCAACAGGAGCAGTTAATTAAAGATCTGGAGTGGTTTGGGCTGACTATAGTTGATTTTGGTGATGATAGTATGACTCATTTATATCAGTCAACTGCTCTAAAGAGCAAAATTGAATATACTTTAGCCAGAGATAACAATATTCAAATAGTTCTGGAGCATGTTTAGACAGGCAGTTTAGAGAAGTATGAGCTAGACTAGGATGATTTACCGAGGTACAAAAGCAGGGGTTATGTTCCAGATGTTGAAAATCTGTGGTAGGAAATTTTGGAGGAAGCACATTTATATGGCTGTACTATTCACCTAGGGAGCAATAAAATGTATCAGGATATCAAAGAAGCTTTATGGTGGTCAGGATTGAAGAGAAGTGTGGCGTAATTTGTGGCCAAGTGTCCTTCATGTTGGTTAGTAAAGGTAGAGCATCAACGTCCAGAGTGGAAATGGGAGGAGATTGCGATGGAATTTGTGATTGGTTTGCCTAGATCTCGTGAGGGTATGAGTAATTATTGATCGACTAAGTCTGCCTATTTATTACCTATTAGACAGATAGATCCAGTTGAGAAGCTAGCCAAATTATATGTGAATTAAATTGTGAGGTTGCATGGAGTGCCAAAGTCTATTGTCTCTGGCAGAGATGACAGGTTTACTTTCAAATTATGGAAGAAATTTCAGGAAGCTTTGGGTACTTGATTGAGTTTTAGTACTCTGGAAGGAAGTGCAAGACACATTTATGTTGGGCTGAAACATGTGAATGAAAAATCATTGGAGCTGATTTGGTTGATGATGCTACAGAGAAGATTAGGCTGAACAGAGACAGACTGAAGGCGGTACAAAACAGACAGAGGAAATACTATGACGCCAAGCATAAACCTGTTGAGTTTGCAGTTGGAGAGTTTGTTTTCATCAAGGTCAGTTCATTGAGGTTGTGCAATATTTTGGGATGGCAGGAATATTGAGTCCCAGATATGTTGATCCATTTGAGATTGTAGAAAGGATCGGGAAAGGGGATTACAGTTTGACTTTACCAGCCCATATGCAAGGAGTGCATAATGTTTTTCATATTTCGTCATTGAGAAGGTATATTATAGATCAAGCCTGTAAAGTGATAACAGACTCAGTTGATATTCAACCTGATCTGACATATATTGAGGAGCTTGAAAGGATATAGGATTATCAGGTGGAGAAGTTGCAGAACAGAGAAATCTCTTTTTTGAAGTTTTTATGAAAGCATGGATCAAAAAAGGATGCTACTTGGGAGAAAGTCTCTGAGAAGCAGGAAAGATATCAACAGCTTTTCAATTGAGGTATATTCACTTTCATGCTTATTTTTAAATTTTGAGGATGAAACTTTTCTTAGGGAAGATTGTAATAACAAAATTAATAATAATAATAATAATAATAATAATAATAATAATAATAATAATAATAATAATAATAATAATAATAATAATAATAATAATAATAATAATAATAATAATAATAATAATAATAATAATAATCGATGCATCCCTTCAGTTATAGCATAACAGTTGCAACCCCTCTTTCGATCGAATCAAACATATCGAGTGAGAACGGGAGAGATCGGGAGGAGAAATATACCGTGCTCTAGCAGAAGGAAGAGACGTCTTTGGAAGAAGTGCGTGCGACCACTGTGCAACGTCGGGCTGTGCAAAGAAGGAAGACGGAGAAATCGAAGACTTACGTGGACTGAGCCGCGAACGAGGAGGAAGCTATGACTTCTTACGTTGGTGCTACGTGTAGGAGGAGGAAAGAGGAGACATCAACAATGTGTGCTCTTGCAGAGGAAGTGGAGAAAGATTAAACCTGTGGATGCTGTCTGCGACGAGTTAAGAGAAGGAAGACGGAGATGGTGGCGGCATGTGTTCTAGACTTAGTCAAATTCAAGGAGGAAGGGGGGAGGTGAAACCTTTGGCGCTGTGCTCACATAGAAGAGGAAGCCTCCTCAAAACTAGACCGAAGAAGAGGAGTAACCCCGAAGCTCGCATGCGTGAGTTAGGGTGGTCAACCGAGCCTAAACAGGATTGAAACTATTCTGAATTTGGGAAGAGGAGAGACTAAACTATACTAAAAGAGCCAAATTGAGTCCTATATTAAGGTAAGGAATAATATGCTAATTTTTACATGTCTATTTAATCAGGACTTTAACAAAGAGAATTTGTTTTTGAAAAGGAAGAATTTGTGAAGCGAGCGGGAAAAGGAGGAGATCGATCTGAAAGCCTACAGGATACATGGTAAACCTTGTGTCATTAATTGAATTAATGACATAATTAGCTACGTTAACTAATTAATGTTATTAAACTTTGTTAATGTTAGAGGAATAAAATCGGCTAATCCCTTGAATTTGAGGAAGAAGACAAATAATTTTAAAAGATAAGTTATGTCTTAAAGTAAAGTTTAGTTTACTAAATTAGGAATTATTATTAATAAAATATTATTAACTACAATTTAGGCTGAAGCACATTTAAGCCTAGAAAATCAGGGATTTGAGAATCAGTGTGGCAAGCAAGCTAAGGTGAGTATTTATTTTCTTATATGTATTAAATTTAACGTTTATTTAATAAAGAATTTCTTTAATATGCCTTAGACAATTATATTTGCATGAATGTTGTAGCTTAAGAATGAAAGAAAATGAAAGGGTAGAGGAAAAAAGAATGCTTAATGTTTTTTAAAAAATGTAATTCATACAAGATTACCCCCGCATGGTACTGGCAATGGTTACAATTTACCCATGCACATTATAGAAAATAGTAAAGGTGCGCCTTCGGGTGCAATTTGAGGGTGCTTTCGGGTACATTTTTTAGGATGTCTTAAGACACATTTAGAGGGTGATTTCAGACACATTTTTAGGATATATTTAAATATGACGATAATCCTGTGATGACTATTAAAGATGTTAAAAATGGTAAATACTTAAAGTGGAACAGGAATAGATAAATTTAAAGTTTTAATGAACTTAGCTGCTTTTTCTTGTGGTCATTCATGCATAACATAGCATAGCATAGTAAATAAATTTAATGCATATTAAGTTATAATTACTCATTAGGTTGTACTTACAGTTGAAGTTAATGTTTTCTTTTTAGGAGATGAAAAATTTTAGATTGATATGTTTGATATGAGAGACTTGGTCTATCAGAGGAGGACCACCATCATTAGATTTTTTTTAATGATAGTTTTCTTTACTAATTTTGTCGATTTTTGATTTACTGTTCAGTTCTGGATTAAAAATGTTGTCTATGGATGTTGTTGTTGTTGGATGATTTAAATTTATTGCATTTTTGAATTAGTGACTCTTTTATATATTGAAAGTTGTTGAAATATTTTTTGGATAGTTAGATGTTAATACCGTCCGACCGTAGTATCCGTCTTATTTAATACTAAGCACCGGGCCGGGTCATGACAACAATTTTGTAAACAACTTGGATATTTATGGGGTATATAGGTTGGCAATTTGTTTTTTTTGGTGGCACTATCAGCAATTGTTATTTCTTAAAGCTATCTAATAAGAGTTCACAAATATCAAATTTATCAAACAGGGCTATGACTATTGTATCTGTAATTCTTGGCCGCACATTCCATTATGTTGATGGCATACTTCCATTCAGGTACTACTATGGCAAGGTGTACTTTTGTTCATATATCCTTCCTGACTTTTACGTGACTATATTTACTTAACCATATAAATGCAGGCTTGGTGGGACAGATTTTCCAATTGATGATTTTGCAGCTGTTTGCCTCTTGGTGGGTATAATTTAATAGACTAATATAGGTTGAATGCAGTTCTATGATGCTGAAAAATAATTAAAAATTTTACTTGGAACTTTTTCGTCCTGCATTCAGGTTTATTTTGGTGTTACTACATTGCTTGATACTGCCTCTGGTGATGAATTGAAGATAAAGGAGGAACAACAAGAGGTGCTTCCACTGCCTCTAAGAAAATCTTACTGAAGTAATATGCATCAATTACAATTAAATTTATGTATTGCATGCGTTACGAGGAAATATACAAACACTCTTACAAACTATTAAGCACATCAAGATGATTTCCGGTGATGCTATTCTTAAACCTGCATAGCAGTTCATTGATTATACTATGCTACATTCAATTTATTCTGCATTGGTTCCTGTTATGTTGGTTTCTCATGCCAGCATCTCATTTATTTAACACAAAATCTGCCTGCATTTGGTCAACCGAATACCATGCATGCATCATGAATTGAGATCGCCACAATGGTATTGAGTTACACATTTCAGATTGACGGGGGGATAGTAGGCTTCAATGTTTGCTTTGCACTGCAATTGAAATGAAAATGAACCTTTTCATGTAAATTCTGTTTTGCTATTAAGTCCACATAAAAATTTCTTTTATATTTAGGTGAAAGGAAAGTGAAGCAAGAGAAATAAACTTTGATCGACTGAAATAGAGACAAATTTCGAAGTTAAGAGCCATTCTAATGTTAGGTTTCAACAACTTGCATAAAATAAACACTTCTAGAGGACCATTGTGTCGTGTTAGAAGCTTGGAAACTTGGGCATCTTGTTATTTTGTTAATTAAAAAAAAATGTTATATGAATTGAATATTTCCTAAATGCTTTTTGGACATCTTATCAACCCTTCCTGAACACCTCTTACCATATTGTCGTCAAACACATTGCACAAACCCAATAAATCAAATTATTGAAAGTTGTTAATACTCCTGAAGCTGATCTTGTTTGATGCATGGTCTGGCTCTGTAATATAAGTTAACATTCCTGAATTTTCCTAGGTCCTTTGCAGCTTGGAATTTCTTTTTCTTCTTATTTAGCTCTCTTTGCTGCATCAGACGGGAGTACATATCTCATATAAATTTGTCTTCATCTCATCTCCATTCATGACAGTCTAACCCATTGCAGTATAGCTTCTGTGCATTCTTTGGACTAGGATACTACATCGATCAGCCTGTTATCTTATGCACCTCATATATATGATATTAAGCCCCCGAAATGATAAATTCAACAGTTCTCTTGTGCACCATCATTCAGCTTAGTCCATTGTTGAACTCACAATCTATATTCTTATTATTAATTTAGGATTTCACATGCAGTTGTAGAAGATGCTCTCTAGGCTCGTCCAATGGTGGCTATAACATCGAGTAACTCATTGGCTAACTCATCTAAATCCTAAGCAAGCTCCGACTGATGCCTGAAATTAAATAAAAAAAAATGGACTCCAACTAATAGATATATTCATATTGAATTTTTAGCTCAGCATTATTGATTATTTATGCACACAATATGAAAAATAAAAGAGCAAGATTGATAATATGTTGTTACACCCGTAACAGGTAGAAGGGGGCCAGTCTCGCCTGGACAGGTCGAACGCCACCCAGCCGGCCCGCTCTTTCAACAGGTCGGCCGCAACGGAAGAGAGATGGGAGCAGGTGGGGTCCACTATGCCCTAATCATATACTCAAGGAGGAGGAATTGAGGGAGTTGGGAGGAAAAGTTTGTAAGAAAAGTTTTCAAATGTTATGAGGGATTCTATTAAGGGGAGGAACCTAGGGTTTGGTTTTTTTTTTGCATTATTTTGTGGCTGCTGTATTTTTCTTCTTTTGGTGTTGTTCCTGACGACTTCTCGGGTGTAGGAGAGCCGATCTACCTCTCGAATATAGATCATCTTTATATCTTGCTTGTTTTTTTCCTTTGATTGTTGTAAAAGCAGCCCTTATTTGTGTTTTTCCACCATCTATTGCGATTTCGCTATGGTTTGTTCACTGATTTTGGTGTCGAAGCATATCAAATTGGTATCAAAGCCTAGACTTGGTGGGATGACGACAAAGAAGGTTGATGTGCTAGAAGAAGAGGTAGAAAATTCGTTCTGAAATGGAAGAAAGGTTTGCTACCATGGAATGGAGATGCAATCCAAGGTCGTGCCGACCACTCCTGCTGCAAACCCTAATCAGGGAAACCTTGGCCAGGTCAAGGGGGAAGGTGATCGAGCGAGAAGACAACGAAGAAGACATCATCTATCTATAAGCGTCCCCCTAGGAGTCCGAGAGAAGGGGGATGGGCTGAAAATTGGAGAAGAGATGGTAGAATGACACGAAAGATTATGATGGAGGAAGAAGGGAATCGTGAGTGGGATATGCTTATGACCATAGGAGGGTGTTTCACCCTAGATACATTGTGGAAAATTCTGGAGGGAGAGGAAGTTGGGGTGGAGATGCAAGGGTTATAAAACTGAAAATGCCGATCTTTGAAGGAGAAGATACACATGAATTGGTGCATCGAGTGGAGCGGTAATTTGCAATCAACAGTTTGACTGAGGAAGAGAAGCTCATGGTAGCATGATTATGCTTGGAGACAAAGACTTTAGCGTTTTTCTAGTGGATGGAGGCAATGTATTCGATGCACTCATGGGATGAATTTAAGGATTGCTTGTTGGAGTGTTTTCAAGACATTCGAGAAGGAGACCTACACGAGCAATTCTATGCTCTGACTCAGGAGGAGACAATTATGGAATACTGAGAGAAGTTCGAGCTCTTATCTGAGAGTTTGAGGGAGATTTCTGCAGTAGAATTGGAAGGAAACTTCTTGAAAGGCCTAAAGCCCGAAGTAAGAGCAGTCATCCACCCCTTGAGACCGCGTGGATTGAGGGAAATGATGGAGCTCGCCCAAATAGTGGAGGATAAGAAGCAGGTGAAGAAGACCAGTAGAGGCGGTAACATCGGGGGATTCTACCGTCGTGACTATTATGACACTGAAGACCTTAACAGTGTCATTTCAGAAAGAGACGCCAAAGGAGAAGAGTACATGACCCCGATCCGAGGGTAATTTCAAGTGCATCGCACATGTAGAAGTTCATGACAAAAGAGCCTAATGATTATGTTACCGTTGTGACGAGAAATATGCTCCAGGACATCATTGCAAGGAGCGCGCTCTTCAGGTTCTTTTAATTCAGGAGGATACAATAAGTGAGGAATCATAAGAGGAAGCAGAGGAGGAGGAGCATCTGCATTTGAGTGTGGCAGAAATGTCCCTCAATTCGGTGGTGGTATTTACCTCGAATCACACCATGAAGGTGAGGGAATGGATCGGGGCACAGCCGGTTGTAGTGTTGGTGGATAGTGGGGCCACCAATAACTTCATCTTAAATAAAGTTGTGGAGAAGTTAGGGTTGAAGCTGGTGACTACAGGAGCTTTGGCATCATGATGGGGACAGGGAAGGTGGAGAAAAGTCAGGGAATCTGCAAGGGTTTGTTTCTGACACTGCATGCCTACAGGTGGTGGAAAACTTCCTTTAGATTGTGCGTTTGGGGATGAAATGGTTGCGAACATTGGGAGATGAAGGTGGATTGGAAGTCCTTAACGATAGAGTTCCAAGTGTAGGATATGAAGGTGGTGCTGAGAGGAGATGTTAACTTATTCAAAACCATGGTGTCGCTCAAACCATGTTCAAATAGATTCGGGGAGCAGGACTGGGTTACTTGGTGGAGTTGCAGAGCATTGAGGAGGTTCGAGATTTAGAATTAGCAGAGTTTCCAAAAGGGGTCCAACAACTCTTATAGCAGCTTACTAATATTTTCCAGCAGCCAAGTGGGTTATCACCTCAGAGGGAGCACAAGCATGTTATTACATTGAAGGAGAATGTTTCCCCCATTAGCGTCAGACCATACAGGTATCCTAAGATTTAGAAGGACGAGATAGGGAAGCTAATCTGGGAGATGCTCGAGGCAGGGATTATCAGGCCTAGGATGAGCTCTTTTTTCCAGTCCCGTCCAGTTGGTTAAGAAAAAAAATGGTAGTTGGAGATTCTTTGTGGACTATAGTTCTTGGAACAAGGAAACAGTGTTGGACAAATTTCTTATTCTTGTGATTGATGAGTTATTGGATGTGTTTTATGGGACAGTTATTTTCTCAAAAATTAATTTGAAGTCAAGTTACCACCAGATCTGGATGAATCCGACGAATATGTACAAGACAGTATTCAGGACACATGAAAGACATTATGAGTTCTTAGTGATGTCATTTGGCCTCACCAATGCCCCACCGACATTTCAATCTCTCATGGATAGGTTTTTGCAATCTTATCTTAAAAAATTTATCCTGATTTTCTTTGATAATATTCTGATCTACAGTCGTACAAAGAGAGCATGTGGGGCACCTGAGGACAGTCTTAGAGACGTTGAGGAAGAACCAATTGTATGTCAATATGAAGAAATGTTCTTTTGCACAGTTGCAGGTGGAGTGCCTTGGACATGTGGTGCCCAGGACAGATGTAGCAGTGCATCAATCCAAGATTGAGGCTATGTTTGATTGACCCTTACCAAGGAAGAATGAGTTGAGAGGATTCCTAGGTCTCACCGGATACTACTAGAAGTCTGTGAGAAGATATGACACGATAGCATGACCACTAACAGAGCAGCTGAAGAAAAACCATTTCAAATGGGGAGAAGCATCAAGACAGGCTTTTGAACAGCTGAAGAAGGTCATGACTAGCGCATCGGTATTAGCAATTCTAGATTTCAATAAATCATTTGTGGTGGAGACGGATGCGTCGAGGTACGAATTAGGAGTAGTGCTTATGCAGGATCAAGGCCGACTGTCCACTTTAACTAGATTCTTACAACCAAAGTGAGGCTAACGTCAACATATGAGTGGGAATTGATGACAATTGTGTTGGCTATTCAAAAGTGGCGGTTATACCTGTTGGGGCGATATTTCTTGGTCAGGATAGATCAGAGGAATTTAAATTATCTTCTGGAGCAGTGGGTGTTGACTGAGGAACATCAGAGATGACTATCCAAGTTACTGAGGTATGGGTCGAGATCCAGTACTGGCCATGATTGGAGAATAAGGCAGCTGACAAACTGTCGAGAAAGGTAGAGAAACCTTAATTGGCAGCTGTCGGCCGTTTTATTGTTCAACCCTCGCTT